AATTTTTACACAAGCCAAAACTGCTGATGATGCAGCCCATCAGCTTTCATTGGCATTACATTATTTTAAAAATGGCTGAATGACTCATGCCTGTGCCTTAATGTTAAAAAGACCGTATCAATGTTTTTTAGTAAACCTAAAACAACTGTGGCTGCAGTAAAAGTTCGCTTGGGTGCACAAGAACTAATTAATGTTGAGGAATTTAAGTATTTGGGAGTGCTACTAGACTCAAAATTATCCTTTAAAAAACACATTAAAAAGTAGTGAAAACTGTAAATGTTAATATACAGAACTTTAGACATATCCGCACATCATTAACAGACACAGCAGCGATTACCTTCCTGCACTCTATGATATTGGCTCATATTGAATACTGTATTACAAGTTGGTCCTATACGAGGTTTGCTGCTATTGGACCAGTCGAAGTATGCTACAAAAGAGCATTGAAAATATTAGACAAGAAACCTTTTTAATTTCACCATTGTCAAATTTTAGATAAATATAAGTTTCTAAATTTTACTAATTTCAAATTGTTTAAATCTGCCTGTCTAATATACAAAGTTATACATGGTCTAGCGCCTCCACCAATGAGTGATTTTATTAAACAAAATTCTAGCAGCATTGCTGGGTCTCGATTGACTCAAGCCACTGTTAGAGGTGATTCTGAATTGGCATTTAGATGGACTACCTTTTCACAGAATGCTCTGTCATATCAGGGAGTGAGCTTCTGGAATAGTCTTCCACTGTCAGTGAGGGAAAGTACAAGTCTCCCTATCTTTAAGAGTAACTTAAAAGGGTGGCTGAGGGACACACAAATATATGATCATGTTTAACTAATCATGCTTTGTATTGGACGTGAAAAAGAGTTAGTGTATTTACAAAAAGGGGAACAACTATTAGTGTAATGGGTCAGTGCAATATCAGGACAGTCAGGGCATGTGTAATACTGGGGTTTGTGCAATATAATTGATGTGTTTCCTTTACTGTTATCTATATTGTCCTGTGTTGTCCACTCTTCTTGTCATTGTTTGTTCTAATATGATGTGATCACTGTTTTTGTCCTTGTCCCATGATCTGTGAATAGTGTCTCTGTATGTTTTTACTAATTTATCTGTAACACCAACCTGCCAGAGGGTCTGCAGATGGAAATGAGCCCAAGCCTGGGCATATTTACATTTGTTAAAATGTTCATTAATATGTATTGTCCCTCTTTCTAAATAAAAATAAATTAAATTAAATTCTATTAAAAAGACCCTCATCCAGATCGCACTGCTTACAGGCATTTTCATAGCATAAAAAGATAGAGCTGGAGTCATTTAGATACCAGGAGAGGAACATTAAGTCTATATACTGTATAATTGAATGCAAAATTTGAACCAGGTGTGTGAATTTCTCCTATATTGGCTCCCTGTCAAATCCAGAATTAAATTCAAAACCCTGCTCCTCACAACGTCTTGAATCATCAGGCTCCATCTTTGTCTTTCCTGCTTCTTTAGTGCTCACAGTGAAATGAGTGTGTTCAGTTGTACGCCTGAAAGGGCGAGCATTCAACTGAGTTAAGGAGTCTAACCATAGTAAAAGTATTTCCTTTGCAAACCCAGCATTTTAATAAAGCCCTTGTATCAACATGTTTCAGTTCACAGGGTTGTTGGATTTGTAAATATATGCAGGCATATAAAAGATAAACTTAAAGTAACAGAATAAAAATGCCCTGCAAAATGCTACCTAGCTTAGCACAACGTCACTACCTGTAGCTTGTGCAGTATAAAATAACATTATTAAACTTTTAATTTAATTATGCTAAATGTATATGATGCATTTGAAATTGTGAAGTAGTTGATGACTGATTTCAATTATATTAGTTCAAATAAGGATAAGGTTTATATGTACATGTGTATATGTGGCTGATTTTAATCTAAAAAAGGGAGGTAGGTAGGCCTCCCAGCACTCCTGTCTATTTTTCTTCATCTCTCTATCTCATTTTTCTTCCCCTTTTTTTCTTTTCCTAACCTCTTCATTTAAATACTTTTTAAGACTCTGAGTCAAGTGCTTGTACTGCATTACTGGACTGTTCTGAACGTCTTAAATCCCTTTATTGATGAAGCAAAGTCAAGCTTTACAAGTAAAGACTTAACAAATGAGTTGGGGCAAACTAAACTGAATGAAAAACAAAAACAAACAAAAGAAACCCCAGAATAAATAAACTAATAAAAAATAGAAAGCTATAATACCTCTGTTAGTCGGTACTGTGTCTTGACAATACACTCTTGCCTTATTTTACATCCATAGCTTCCGTACTTTTGTACATTTAAGTGTGATTTTACTTGAGTGAGCTTGTCCACTCATCGAGCCTACAAGTCAGCACTCAGGGCCAGTGTTGTCCATTAACCTGCCTGTGTGAGCATCAGAAACATGGCGGAAAGCGAGTTGAACGTTGACAGCCTCATCTCTAGATTACTGGAAGGTAGGTTAGCATTTGTGATCTAGCGTCTTTATGTAAATTTATTCGGTCAGGAGAAAAAGGCTATCTGGAGGTTCTTGTTTGTAACCAGGAACTTCACGACATGTTTCGAAAGCATTTCGCCATCGCATCCTTAGCTGTTTTTCATCGGCATCAAGCGTTAAGCTAACAGCCGCGTTAAAAAGCTACGGTAAACGTTAGACCCAAATAGTGTGGCATCACTCTATCTGTTCGTTATTGCTGGTTAATGCTAGTTTTGAGATTGTGTGGAAAATAAGAGTGATGTCAAATTGGCTTGCTGTTGCCCGATAGGGATAGTGAAAGCTAATTACATTAAGTAGTCATATAAGTTGAGGGTTTAACAGCACCTCTTTTGTTGTAGTGGGTGCTGGTTAATATTTTTCTTATGTTGGGGAACAGGAAGAACTGTTAAATTTTATGGTTGCTTAGTAACACTAACTGTTCTCGTTTCCAAGGCATGTAACTAAGTCGGCTACCTCTGCGGACACACCCCCTTTACGTAGGGGATCACTAAAGCCTGCACGGCTAATTTAAACAGTAAACCAGTGTATTCCCTAGGCTGTACCTGGGGTGGGAATCAACTCAGTCCACTAGTACTGTTCTGAGGTATTAGTATTTCCCACGAGTACCTGATACTTTTAAATAAAGCAATTCCATAACATTTAAGAAAACGAGAATCTTGAGTTATTAGTTGCTGTACAATGCATAATTTAAGAGATAAAATAAATGAAATGTATCAATAAAAATGACGTATTTGATCGATTAAAAAAGTGTCTTAAATGAAAACAAAATACACAAAACTTAAAATTTAATAGTATTTTTTGGTCCAATTTCTAAAAGCAGAAAAAAACCTGCGTATGATACCCAGAATTATAAAATAGTTTAAATAAACCCCACATCCATCAGTGTAAGTAAAAGTGAAGTGAACTTCTTTTACCTTTCACCTTAATCTTTTCATTTGCTCATAACAATTCAGTATTATTTTTGTTGTTGCTTGCCTGAAACCAAATAAAGAATGGTATATGGAAAACAATAAATAATATCTGGTTAAATATCCTGCTTATTGGCAGATGCACTTTGTGGTAATGGAAAAACCAATGATATGCAAAATAATTGTTACTGTCTTTACACTTCAAAATGTATTAAATCCTTCACTTCCATCTACTTTAATGCATGTCATGAACTAATTTTGGATGTATTTGTTATGCACATACTGAAATTTGTGCATTTAACATCTGCAGGAAGAATGATATAGTATTTAACATTACTAGAACTCCACTGTAATTAAAAATCAGCATCACGCTAATTTATTACAAATCTATATTGTTTTTATCTGTGGTTACCATTATGGGTTTAATGTGCAACTTGTACCTACTGTCAGTTGTTCAATAACATTTGTGAGTAAGCTTTCAGCTTTGGCTAGCGCTACCACATTTCTAAACAACCTTGTTGTTTTTCTTCATACATTAATCTGCCCTCTAGACTGGACCGCCTGCGCTCACTCACTCATAAACTTCCAACTGAGCCAACAAGCTGTTCATTCCTGATCTTGCCAGTTCATAACAACCCATGTTGATTGGAGTAAATAGCATATTTGGCCAGTAGCAAAGCAAAACTTGGTGATCAGATTTCTTTAATCTGTGGTGCAAATGTAAATAAAAGACAAAACTTGTGACTTGAACATACTATTTTTTTAATTAATAGTTTTGTTTAATATAAATGTTTTGGGAATTGGTGATATGAATGAAATTTTTTTCTTTTTCTGTTTTAATCACAATAATGATATATGTGTGTTACTTTTTACCTTGTAGTGCGAGGATGCCGTCCAGGGAAGATCGTACAGATGACAGAGGCTGAGGTGCGCGGGCTCTGCATCAAGTCCAGAGAGATTTTCCTCAGTCAGCCAATTCTTCTTGAACTTGAGGCTCCACTCAAAATCTGTGGTGAGAACCCACCTATATCCCCAGAGGGCGTTTATATACATTGTTTTTATTTACTTTGTTCACTACATTTACAATGCTTACAGGTTGAATTGACCAAAAATCCGCTTGGATTTGTCTTATATGTTTTAAGTCCCTTCACAGCAAGACAGTCCACCCCACAATGCTGTTATTTTTGCTCCCAGCTAACCATGTTTAGATTCACAGTAGTTCACTGTAGCACAGAAACCGCATTAGTGAAGATTATGAATGACCACCTTATGGCCTCTGACACCTCACTCATCTATGTGCTTGTCCTGCTAGACCTCAATGCAGCATTTGATACAGTTGAGCTTAATATTTTACTAAACATTTTATAAATATGTTTATAACATGCCATTCATTTTCAAAGATATCTGTATAATCACATGAGATCAATAAACTGTAGGTAAAAATTTTCATTTCAGGTGATATCCATGGGCAGTACACAGACTTGTTAAGGCTATTCGAGTATGGAGGTTTTCCGCCAGAGGCCAACTATCTGTTCCTGGGAGATTACGTGGATAGAGGGAAGCAGTCATTAGAGACCATTTGCCTTCTGCTCGCTTACAAGATCAAATATCCAGAAAACTTCTTCTTGCTCAGAGGGAACCACGAGTGTGCCTCCATCAATCGCATCTACGGCTTCTATGACGAATGTAAGTTGGAAAATCAGTGCTTGTCTGCATCTGAATACTGTTAGATTTAAATTCTGTTAATTTAACTTGATGGTTACAGTTTCATAGATGTAAAGATTAGCTGCTTCTGTGGTTTGTATTGATACAAACTGAAGAACTATTTTCCTTTCTCTTTCTGTTATTCAATGGAAATAAGCACTATGGCGATAAATTATGTGTAAAAGACAAAAACGTTTGATCAACATTGGATTTAATCCTTAATATTCTCTAGTGCTTACTGCACTAGAGAATACAAATCATGATTATTAAAGTAATCTGATAATGATTAAAGTTCAAAACATATATTGAATTTTCTGAAAGCTAAAAATGTGAAAAGTGAACATTTCTGGTTGTGAGATAACTGAAGTTTTCATGGATGTAACATAACACACCTGAATTGGAAATTGTTTTTGGTTAAATTTTCCTCAGGCAAACGCAGGTTCAACATAAAGCTCTGGAAGACATTCACAGACTGTTTTAACTGTCTGCCCATTGCTGCGATTATTGATGAGAAGATTTTCTGCTGTCACGGAGGTTTGTGAAACATATCTGTTATGTAGGAGGTAACAAAGTACGGCTGAATAATTTGTCTCCGTGAATTAAAAGTGTGCCTCTAAATAGGCAGTAGGATCATATAGAATTACTCCATTTATCAGTCTTAGGTATTTAAATGCATTTGAGGGCTCAGCTAGTAATATATCTTGTTACTATTGCATTAACTTAACATATTTTTACTAACTACAGTAAATACTTGGTAATTCATGACATTAGTCAACTTTGTTTTTGCCATGTCTAAATTTTTTACTGATGCATGTAGTAAATACTGTCCTCTTTTGCTCAGGACTGTCACCTGATCTGCAGTCCATGGAACAAATCCGACGTATTATGAGACCCACTGATGTCCCAGACACAGGTCTGTGTTTAAGTTAATAGATTCATGAAGATCATCATATATATCTGTAGTCATTTCCCATTGTGCACATGTTCAGTGTAAAATTATGAATACATTGTCACCTACTGCTTTAGCATGTAGACTGTATATAAAGGATGGACATAGCTTTGAGGTTTAAAGAGTAAAGCCATTGTCATAGTGCCTTAAGCCCCATCCAGATATGAAACAATTTGCTCATGGTGCCTTACTTTGTAGCTGACAGATGTTCATTGCAGGACATTTTAGGCTCTGGTTGTCTAGGTAACTCTCTTATGTTTTTACCACCCCCTTATATGTCAGTCAGCACTTTCTTTGTTCCCACTCAGAGCTGTTTAGATCACTCACCTCAGAGATGAGGAAAAATGTAACTCAGGAGTGGTCCACTTCATGTCCTTAACAGTTTTTTCATCTGTTGTCATTTGAAGCATCTGACTGTTAATGACATTCCCGGATCTTTGCTTGCCATATCGCTGTTAGTTGTTCCATTTTGAACCCCCATTTAGACTGATTTTTTTTTTTTTACAATGGCCAGTCAGGGTGACCATACCCATCACTTCTGGTAATTCCATCACATAGCCACGCCCATTTATGGTCACTGTCACGGTACAGCTGTCTTATTCCAGCTTCAGCAGCTTGAGGGCTGTGCTGCTCAAATCGACTAGTGATGTCAATTTGAGGTCGACTTTGCTGGATGGTACCATAAACACTTTTGTGATGAGGTTATGGTCTTGCTGACTAGTTTCAGTTATGTACGGTTTAGGGTGAGCCTGACTTGTGATTGACAAGTCTCTACTGTATCAGTGCATGGTGACAAGTTTGGATTTAAAACACCAAGATGTCGCTCGGAAACAAGTCTTCAAAACAGTTTCACTAACAAACAGGTGAAATGTCAGTTTTTTTAAACATACAATTACATGTATAAGTTTACAAAAATAGGCACTTGTCGGTGGGTAACTGCTCAACTCGACTGCGCTGCTGACTTAAATGTGCCACATTCCAGGCTTGCTGTGCGACCTGCTGTGGTCTGATCCAGACAAAGATGTCCAGGGCTGGGGTGAAAATGATCGGGGCGTCTCCTTCACCTTTGGGGCTGATGTGGTCAGCAAGTTCCTCAACCGCCACGACTTGGACCTCATTTGTCGAGCACATCAGGTAACACTCAAGCTACTTGATGACATACAACTGTATTAAAATGACTCAGCTGATAATTAAACTTCCATTTGTTAATGAAAACAAGTTTGGTCAGTTTTAATTTAATTAAATCATTTTTATTTATTACAGCTCGAAAGTGAAAACAGATCTGATCATTTTGTATGCAAAACATGTTCCCGAAATATTCTTGAATAACATACAACTACCTAGTAGAAAATATTTTTGGCTTACTGAGTGGAACATTAAGCTACCAAAACCATCTTTAAAAAAAACAAGCCTTAAAAATAACTGAATTGAATTGATTACCAAAATAGGTGCCAGTTAATTTTCAGTCAGTCATCTTGTATTAATCCTGCCACCCCACAGGTTGTTGAGGACGGTTATGAGTTCTTTGCAAAGCGGCAGCTGGTGACCCTGTTTTCTGCTCCCAATTACTGTGGGGAGTTTGACAATGCAGGCGGCATGATGAGTGTGGACGAATCGCTCATGTGTTCTTTTCAGGTAGAGCATGTTCATTTTGATGGCACATTAAATCTCCCTTAAATCCTCTGTAGGCCTATATGTCAACACCGCTATCTGTTCTTTTCAGATCCTGAAGCCGTCAGAGAAAAAAGCTAAGTATCAGTATGGAGGGGTGAATTCAGGTCGCCCGGTCACCCCACCTCGTACCACTCAGGCACCTAAAAAGAGGTGAGCAGCTGGCCCCAACTCTCCTGCTCCTCCTCTGGCTGGGCTTTGGCCCACATCCCTGCAGGCTGCCTCAAACACTCCAGCCTTCTCAGTCAGTTTATTCACGTGTAAATAGAAACTCAAAGAGAGGGTTTTTTGTTTTGCTTGTTCTGTGGGTATTTTTATGAATATGTGAGTGATTTTTCTTTTTTTAATGCTACAGTATGTATTTACTCAGCTCATTCTGGAATATTAACACCAACCTTTTTTTGAAATGGCCGAGATACTTCTTTGCCTTCAGATTAAAAAAAATCGTGGTTTTGTAAATGCATGCACGCTTGTGTGATTGAGATGAGCTCTTTGTTTAAGCAATGTGTAAAATCAGCACTCTCCCAGCCTACAGGTCCAAATAAATCCAGTCTCATCTCGATTCCCACTGTGTTATCTCAAGTATTACACACTGGTTAAATCGTTAAACATTTTGGGAAATATGCTCCTTTGTTTTCCTGCAAAATATCAGGTAAGACTTCTCACCTATTAAATATGGCTTTCATAGCTTAGCACAAGGGCCTGAAATCACTCTTCAGACTTCCCAGTGTAAAACTTAAATTGACAGATCTCTTGTTAAGGACACATTGCATCTCAATACTTGTCACACTTTCAAAAGTATGGATGTGCTCTCAAGGACCCCTCCACAGAATGGCTGTTTGTTGCATTAGTGCATTTCCCACCATCACGGGTGTTAGTTTGCGAAACAGATGTGCCATGAGCACAGATTCATTAATTAGACACAAATTGTTGTGCTTCCAGTCTGAAAGTGCTAAAGACTCTGGAGACACTCAGGACTAACAATTTTAAGTTTTCCTAATTGATACTTTGAGGCTTTAGTTGTGTTTTTAGGTGTTGGTTTGGTTTAGGCAGCAAAAATATTTGGTTAGATTTAGGAAAAGATCATGGGTTGGGTTTAAACAGGTGTAGCAAATGTTTTAAAGCAGCGCATGTGGGCACAAGAGGTACTTCCAACTGAAGTGCATTAAATTCAGTGCTGGGGTGAGTGTCAACAAAAAGGACAATTTGTGTTCAAAATTAGTCGTATTGTCTACTCCTTCAGGTTTTGCAGTGAGACTGAGCTGCAGGGTAGCATGAGCAAAGTATCTACCAGGTCGATTGTTAGATTTAGCTCCTCGAGTACTATTTTTTTTCAAATTTTTCACAAATTAAATTTGAATTTGATTGCGATCAAATTTGGACTACCTTCTTAAAATTCACATACTATATAAGTATGGTGTACAGCATTAAAGTTTACTGAAAGAAACGCCTTTAAAATTAGTGTGGGTTTTTTTTTTTGTTCGTCCAGATAAACCAAATATTGTTAATGTTCTTGTTAATATTATTGGGCTTTGGAGGTGCTGATATGTTGATTTTGTTGTATTTGATCTCTGCTAGTCATGCTAGACACTTGATTCCAGTCTTTATGCTAAGCTCTGTTAGCTGTACCTACAGTCCCAAACAACACAACAAACGAACAGTTAATCAATTCACCATGAATTTCACTCTGAGCAGGTACGGCCAAAGCATATTTCCCATAATGTTGAATTTTATCTTTAAACGTGACAGCTAAGACTTTTCTTACGACTCAAGAATGTTTTCTTCCTATGGAGATGCCAATAAAATCCAGAGACTTTTATGATGTAAGTGCAATAAATATTGCTAGAAATCTTGCTGTATGCAAGCACAATTATGTGAGACGGCTATTAAAGCCTCTTAATTTCAAAAAGATGCCAACTTGTGCTAAATCTTTAGTTGGGCATTTGTATAAAGCCGATGCTCCTCGTAGTGTTTCAAGTCCATTTTTCCACAACTCATACTGTACTGTGTACATTTTTAATCCCTCACATCACCGAACAAGCATTAGTGGGTGTTTCCATTGTTGGTATAAAATATCGATAAAGCAACATTGTAAATGGTTCCTTTTTTGCTTCTGAAGTAAAAATTCAGACATCATGGACCCACACTGCTCAGAGAGCACTTTGAGTGTGTGTCCTTTAGTCTGATAAATACTTAAATGTGTAGAAAAGTAGACAGATGTGCCAGTGTGAAAAAAGAGAAAGTAAGAAAATGAAGAACACGGCATCTTGTTAGATACAAGACGAGGTTTCAAATACAGGATTAACTAGTCGTTGTCAGTTCATTTTTAGTGTTCACAGCTCAGTTGTATGTTTGTTCTTCACAGCAGTGGGGTTTGACCATTGCCCTCTTTCACTGTCCAGAATGTATTTTCTGTTACTGTGTGTGAAAAGAGGGTAAAATGTATCAAGTCAAGATGCCTGCATTTTGTTTGTTGTTGGCATTGCATTACATATAGACTGTTCCGACTTTGTGGTTACCGAATCAAGTACAGTACATCATTTCCAACTCACTAACCAACATTTAACCTTCAGATCTTGCCTTTTGCCTTGTAAATCTATTGGTCTTCAAGTTGAGAAACAGTATGTTAAGATGTTCTGAGATTTGTACAAGTTTGTTTCAAACGAGTGAAATAAATGGAAGCGCTGTTAAGCCTGCTTTAATACTTGTGTCTGATTCATTAAATTAGTGCAGATCATAGTGGTAGTTTGGTTAGTCCGCTGACACTCAGAAATCACGGTGATTTGTTTTAGGCACAGGAATACAGAATACCCTCAAAACTGCTGTTACTAGTTACATTTGAAAATTAGATACACCAGTCAAATAATGTGGTTAATAAAAAAAACAAAACAGTGATTTTACACTGTATGTTTTGGGAACATAAAGACAGACCTCAGTCTGACTTGAGAGCTTGCAGCACTGACTGTGGTACTCTGCTGACGTAGTACTTGTGGTTACGGAGTGTAGCAAGAACCCCGGCAGAGTTCATGTGCTTTACACTAGCATCATAGCGGTATGCATTTCCATGCATATCAGTCAGTTTACCTGCATTAGAAAAAGAGATGATCAGGAAATATTTGGGAAACGATTTTAGAAAGTGGTTTAAACACTAAAAAAAAAACAAAAAAAAAAAACTGTCTATACATGACATTATGTTGCTATATGATTAAATGTTTTCACCTCCAACAGCATGCAGGATTGCTTCAGGAGCACAAGTGTCCCACTTCTTGCACCCTGGACTAGCAAAGACATAGGCAGAAGCTTTTCCTTCAACAAGCTGGATAATCTGCAGGTAGAGAAGCACGGACAGAAAAATGTACGTTCAGTCTCTCTGTGTAGAATTTATCTATATAACTAGACAAAAGCATCCACTTTTCCAAGTTTTAATTTTAATAATGTGTCAAGAGATTTATTCTAAAGACACTTCTTCAGCTAAGAATCTAAAGGTAGAAACACACAGACGCTGCAGTTTTTACTTGCAAGGGCATGATCACAGAACGCTCACACCAGAGTGAAGATAAGAGTGGTTCAGGTGTATGTGTGTGTGTGTGTGTGTTATTCTGAAGGACGTGGCCCCTCTTCTTGCAGATAAAAGTATCCAGCTCTCCTCTTCCTGGCAGGAGTGAAATGATAACAGCTTGCTCAGCTATTATCACTGTGAGAAAGAATTTATAAAGCAAGTCTTAATTCCAACAACAGTCTAAGTCATAAAAGGGTCATCATGCAGTATTCTATAATATGCAAACTTATATCACTAAAAGATTATACTGACTACTAAGTACAATTTTATATTGACATAATGTAAAAGAAAAATCTCACTGCATCATAATTCATTGGTCACTAATGTAAAAAAGTGAGTTCAATTTGTTAGCACTTTTTTATATTGATTTACATCTTTCTTTTATTATTTATATAGTAACAACCTTCACCACCTTCATAATGGGGTGCGCTTAAACTAAAGCAAAGAGCTTGCAACAATAGAGAGAAAACCACATTTACAACAATCTTCTATGAATGCTACTTTTCAATACTGGGAATATTTTAATATAAAGAGAACGCCGGTTGGGGTGAGGGGAAAGAAGAGCAGAGAGAGCTGATAACCAATAAACTAAACAAAGCACAAACTCCAGGACAATACATAAAATAAAGCCATGGAGTAGTGGGATATAAATGCATGAAGGGTGCATTTGGTAGATTATGTGAGACATGCCTGCAGACAAAGCCCTATGATAGCATAAGAAGAGCACAGGATCCTACTTTAACAGAACCTGTGGATTTAAAGCTTGTGATGGCACACGGGGAATCAATCAACTGACTGTTCATTCTATACATGCAGTTTTTATGTCTTGATGATCTCTGAAATTAAAGATAATGTTGATACGTTTTAAAAAACCCTGCCCGGACAAGTACAAAGAGTTGTTACCACTGTCAGAAGAAAATTTTAGATCCATCTTACCTTATTTCCAGCACCACCCACTCGTACAACTTCGTGAGGCTCCATGGCATCCACACAGTCTGTTACCAGCTTGTTGCTATGGGAACGGGTGGTGGTGACAATCCGTCTGTCACCTGGAACTTCCTGGAGCTGGAACCCAAAAGCGCCCAATCCCAGCATCCCCCACATGGTTCTTCCTAATTGTGTTCCTGCACCAAGCTGATGTTGAAAATGTCACAATTAACCTTACTCACTCAACTACTACAGACTCTTTCTTATAGGTATGCTACATTTTGGACACTACATATTCAATTCAATTCAATTCAATTTTATTTATATAGCGCCAAATCACAACAAA